TAACCCCATTTTATTATATAGAATTCCTAAAGTACATTGTGTAATGACATGAATGGTTTTGTATCACTGCTCATGTGTGAATGCATGTCTTTTCCAGAAAGGAGTGTGAGACTGTGTGTGTGTGTGTGTGTGTGTGTGTGACTCTGAGTGTGTGTGACTCTGCGTGTGAGTGTGTGTGACTATGTATCTGTGTGACTGTGTTTCCTGGGCAAGTAGTAAGAGGACGTATGGACGTAGGGGGTCCCTTGGATGCTCCTCGGCTTCCAACAAGTTCCCAATGCACATCTCACCCAGAGTGAAGCTAGAAAAGCTTGAATCCAGGAGGAAAGGTGGAGGAGGAGTTCGATGATGCACATCCCAGCCTCAGGGTCACCTGTCCCCGCTGTGGGGTTAGCACTGCTTCTTGATGGACAGCAGGGCCTCTCCTGTGGATGGATGAGGGACTCCCTGTGTTTGGTGCACTGAGCTGACAGCTCTTCTGGGGATCAATGTGGACCCAGAGAGGCTGGGTGAGGTCCACCAACCGTGAGTGAGCGCAGGCCTTTCAGCAGAGGGAGGGCCCTGTGATCTCCCTGGACCAGAAGGGCGAGGGTCAGGCACTGAGAGTCAGACACTGAGGGAGCTGTGACCCCCAGGGAGGGAGACAGAGCTGTTCACACAGCCCAATCCCAGCAACCAACCCGTGGAATTCACACTCATCAATGAAACGTTGAGAAGAGAATAAAAATAAAAGCCACTTTTAGAATTTGTGGAGGCTTCATGTCACCTGCAAACACAATGTCCCTTCTTCACTGTTGTCTGCAGTGAGAACATGAGAAGGGAGAGCTGTCTCTGGAGGCAGCTGAGAGCTTGAGAGGAAATCCCTGTGCCTAATAGGAAGGCCCTGCCCTCCCCACCTCCCTCTGCCCTCTTCTCCTGGGGCTGCTCTCTGTGCTGTGGGTCCTGGGCGCCCCCTGGTGTCCTGAGAGTCCCCTGCAGCCCAGCCTTGCTGTCTCCCTCAGGGAGGTTTGTGTCTGGGCCAGCCTTGGGCAAACTCCAGCCCACAGGCCGGATCCGGCCCGTTTGAAATGAATAAAACTATTGAAAAAAAAGACCGTACCCTTTTATGTAATGATGTTTACTTTGAATTTATATTAGTTCACACAA